CAGGAGTTGTAAACCAAAAAAGATAAAATCAAAATCAAAAATCTGAAAAAGTGTCGCAGGACTTTCTTTCCAACCTAATAGTAAAGTAGGGTATTGCGCTGACATGATCAGATACGTATCGATTGAAATCGCTGGAGAGTAGTAGATTAGGCGACTTCAAGCGAATCGATCAATACGTATCTAATCTTGTCAGCGCACTATCCTACTCTCCTACTATCCTAATCTACTACTATCCTAATCTCCCCGTCAATACATATCTTTTTCATTGTCGCGTACCCTAATCTCCGGAGTCGCGAACTATGAACGCGGCCTAGTGATTTCCTGCTATTAACGACTTCTGTGTCCACTAAAAATTCACGTAATGTGAGGCAGCCGCGCTCACATTGTTTCGCTGACCCAAATGAGTTAAAGAAGTCAAACGCACAATTTCCTTGAGCTGGTAATGGAAAATGTGTCTTTTTGTTGCGTTTCCCCATGACTCACTGCTACTATGTGTATTGCAGACAAGCGTTCGCTCAGATGCGTTACTCACTGGATCAAGTGGCGGTATCTCCCAATTGTCCTCAAGTGATACGATCACTTATATATAATTCCGTGGCATTCATCTCTCGGCTTGCTCCTGTTGTCTGACCTGTGTATGAAATGTCTCGCTTCACATGCGTTAATATATGTATCTGCATTCAGTTCCAGCCGTCATATCGCTATCATGTTCTTTTATTAGCTTTCATAATAATGATTGCTAGCCTAGGTCTGTTGTTGTGTTTGCATGTTCGTTGTGCCTGTTCTTAGCAATACATAGTGTTTCCCGATCTGTTCAGAAAATGCATACATGCGCAAGGTACAGGAGCTTCTCCTATACTCGACCCAGTTCTAACGCAGCCCCTATACGACTTACTCTAGCCTCAACCTGACTTCGATCAACCCTGACGGTACACCGACATTAAGAGCTAGATTACGATTACACCAAGAGCAGCCCCTTTGAGGTCCAAATCCAAACCAAAAGGCCGCCCCAATCGCGCTGTTTTCCTCGACCAGCTCGTTTTAATTGCTTGTTATTGCTTCCGGACGCAGCACGCAGTGTGTGTTTCAAGCGTGCACTTCGAGGCTGACGAATTTGTATATCTCTGAAAAGTTATACTAATTTAATGGTACCTTCACGAATTCATAC